ACAGGCTAATGTGACAAGATTTTTTTTTTCAAATGGGTTCCCTCTTCCCAGAAGGCCCTAGCTTGTGTCAATTTGACAAAATACTAGATAACATAGAACGTATAGCAGGTACCCCTCATTTACCTCCCACTCTTAACAGTTCTCCCAATCCCAGTCTGTATACCCCTAGTCTTAGACCTGTTCATATGAATTCATTTAGATATCCTAGACAGTTCAATTAAGGAAATTATATACCATCTTGCCTTCTGTAAATGGTGTCTTTGGCTTTGCATGTTGCCAAGGTTTATCTATATTTTAATATGTTTCAGTACCCCAATCATTTTTGTGGGTGAATGAATGGATACAATATATTTTGTCTCTTAATCATATGATGGTTTTCTCTTTTGGCTATAAATAGATGCATGCACACTTATATAACTATGTTATCAATATATACATGTATTGATATATAAAGCTCACATCTACACACATGACCCATAGGTGTCTTATGGTAATTTAGCATGAAAACTTTTGAGGAACCATAGACTGTTTTCAAAGTTGATACACCACTTTACTTTTCAAATAAGTGATATATCAAGGATCTAATTTTTTTAAATTCTTATCAACATTTATTTTCATGTAATCTTTTGTATAAATACATCTCACTTGATATCAAGTGGCATATCATTATACTTCAGATTTGTATTATTGGTAGCTGATAATGCTGAGCTTTGCACTAATTACTTTCTCATTGCCACAACCAATTACCTGATGAGAAGCAATTTAAGAGAAAAGTACTTAATTTGACTCAAATTTTGAGGATATAACCTATCGTGACGGGAAAGGCATGGCAGAGTCCATTAGGGAGGCAGAATAAAGCTGTTCTTGTATTTTAGCAGGTTCAGAAATACAGAAGGGGGAATATTCATCTGGTTTTCTCCTTTTTCCTTTTTTTTTTTTTCAGTTTGGAATACCACAGATAGTGTGGTGTCACCAACATTATCTACATGGATCATCTCTCCATGATTAAATTTCCCTGGGAATATCCTTAAAGACATATCCAGAGTTCCAAATTCTGTCAAGCTGACAATGAAGATTAACCATCAAGGCTTCATTCTGCTATTTATGAACAATTTGTATACCTCCATCAGAGAAAATTTGTTCATATTTATTAATGTGGGGGTGAAAGTTCTACATATATACATGTTCCCTAGCCTTGATGGTGTCCATGGAAGGACCAAGTTATAAATATTGATGTCTAGTTTATCTATATTTTTGGTCTTTGTACATAGGATACTATGTCGAGGAGATAGAGAACTATTCAAATATCAATAATTTTGCATTTAGGTCTAATCTCCTTACAATTTTTGTATAAGTCATGAGGTAAGCCAACCCAAAAGCAACTTTTAATGATATTTATTTTTTCATCTTAAATATAGAAGCTTTCCTCATCTATGAAGAACATCCCAAGATACCTTCTGAATGCCTGAAACCGTAGATAATATAAAAAATTGTACAGTCACTATATGAGTTTGGCTTCCAATTTTTTTTTACCTAGGGTATTGAGAAAACAGTGGGCATTCAACAGCCATTTTGATTCAGATTTTGAATTTTTATCTTTGCCAAAGGAGGAGCTGGGCAGCGTCAGTGAGCTATAGCTCCCAGTTAGTTATGCCATCACACAGTTAGTACCTATAAACAGACTTGCTGTTAAAATAATGAGCAAGCTAAGATACAACACTGGCGGGTTGGTGTACTAAATTGTAGTTTTGACTTATAGCATTTTCAGCACATTGAGTTTCTCCAGACATAAGCCATTGTGAGTCCAGGAGCAGCTAGTATGTTATGTTTCTCCTGAGTACTCACACTATGGAGAAGTTTAACTTATAAACAAGCTACAGTAAGAGATTAACAATAGATTAAAGGAGATACACAACAGCCTGTAACACAAGTTATATAAAATGTATGAATTACTCCTGGGATTTCCCAGTCAATGAGTAACAGAAACCATAGAAAGCAAATTCACGGATATTGAAGGATAACTTTAACGTAAACACTTAGCATATTTATAGATTCTAAAACTTCTTCTTGGTTCTTGCAAGATTTAGCAACTTGTTACTATTCTATCTACTTTTCTAAAATTTAAAGTTCCATCTTTAATGATTGCTCAGGAATTTACAGTTTTATTTTACACTTTATTCCCTCCTTTATTTATAGCAACATATTGTCAAAACTGACATTTCTTTATAACATAATTCATAGTTATAAATGAAATACTGAAGGAGCTAAATGTGGCTTTCCATAAAGCTAATTTTCTCTTTCTCTTTTCCAAATTTATTATTGGCAACATTTGTTATTTAAAACCTTCACCAAAATATTTTCAATATCCTTTCAAACATCACACCAATAAAACTTAGCCTATTGTTTCTAATTACTTTTTAGTCTCTAGGTAGGCAGAAATTAAACTTTGAGCAAACTAATTCAGTTTTAAATTCACTTTTCACTTTAGATTTTTCCCAAGGTGCTATCAAAGCAACATTCCACTTTAAAAACAAGTCTCTATCACTTCCCAATTCTGGCCATCTACCAGGAACACCCAAATTCCTGAATCGCAAACACTTCAAGTTTTTACTTTTATTTTTTTCCAGTTGCTCCTCAAGTCACTTTCCACCCCAGCAAGGAGTTCACATGAAATTCTTTAATACTTTGAAGGCAGTCCTGTCCTCCAGGAATGCGCACTTCAGCTCCCACCCTTCCTCCACCCACAATGATCCTGGGATGGTCACAGATTAGTGCTTCAAAGTTGCCTGCCTTAGCTCCTCCCCTTGCACCGGGGTAAACACATTGTCACTATTTTTAAGACTATCATTTCTCTTTGTCTGTGAAGTGAGACAGAACAAGAAGTCCACTTGATTCAGACACTGTCAAGATCCTTAGAGGATTGATTACTTTCTCCTGTAGCACTTGCATCAAGAAGCATCCAAATAAAAGGTAATGTACAACTATTCTCTTCAGTATTTTCTTCTGTTTTACAAACTTACTCTTCCAAATGTGTTTGTTGGCCAGGGATTTACATTCAAAATAACTTATAACTAAAAAGTTTATTTGGTTTTACTTCAGTAAAAATACTAGCATTAAGTATTAAAAAGAAATGTTCTGGGTTTTCACATTTATTAGTCATAATCCAAGAAGACTATTCTGAAATATCTTTGTACTTACTCTCCTTCTTGCGAAATATAAAGCCACTATATTCACATTTAAGCACCTTTATTAGGGCAGATATGTTTTTGTATACATACATGCTTGCATATAGCATGCACTAAGCCATGTTTCTGTTTTGAATGTCTGTATATTTTTGAAGACTATTTCAGAGACTTTTGTGTTTAGAGATGAATCATTTCCTTTTCATCAGAGTACAGCTAGGTGTAAGACAAGGCTAAAACGGTTCCCTTTAGTATTTAAAGTACTTGTTCCATAAACAATCTATTCAAAAATTATGTCTACCACACCCAATCATTTCAACTAAAAAACAAGACTAACAACTTAAAAGAGATGTTTTAGTGTTTATTTAGAAAAGATGAAATATTATAATTACATAAGAGATAATTATTGTGGGAGATTAGTTTTAATTTAGGATTTTTTGGTTTAGCATATTAGATTCAGATACTGTGCTCTAGTTTTATTTATAAAGCATTTGTACTCTCAATATTTTTTCATAATTAAGTTTGTCTCATTGTGATGATAAGTATTTCATTTTGTCAGGTTCATTTCAAAGGTCTAAGAGTGTATCTTCATCTCACTATCCATCTTTAGATATATGCCAAGAGTATTAAGTTGCTGAAAAAGAAACCTCAATAAATACTTATCTTATGAGAACACTTTCATAGCTAAAAAGTCTTTTTCCTGATCAAATTTATTATCATGATAATTTCCTTTGTATCTGCAAAATTAAAAGCTTAATGTTTTATGTATTATCTACAAAGATGAAGTCTTCTCAGTAAATCTCTGTATGTTAGCTAGCTAAAAGAATGTCATAACAAACATCAAGGCTTTCTTAAAATCTGTAATAGTAAATACTGTATCAGGACATGGAAATTGGGGTACCAGATTCATGAATTCTTTGTACCTAATCATTTCTTTCTCAAAACTGGTTTACAGCTGCCATTTTTTCATCCTTTTCAGAAATAACAATGGGGTTAAATAAATACAGTCATTTAGAAGTACTAAGGTAGCCCAAGCTAGTAGACCTTTCTGCGAGAAGGGAAATGTTCTGCAACTTGTCATGCACATATGGCACGGCAACTAAAGAACTACTAATTTCATCTTATACACTGTCTTTTGCCTGGGGCACTCTGCAGTATATGTCCAAGGTAATTCAATTATTAAATGTTTTCATTAACAAACACTTCTGAAAGTAGTTTTATCAATAGCAACAAATATAGATCACCAGGCAAGAACTAAATATTCATGACTGTTGTCCTAATATGAATCTTTTCACCACCAATCAAAAAGCAATAAGGTCTTCATTTTTACAGAGCACATAGTAGCCCATCCTTAAATCTATGTAACCTTAGAAAAATAATATCTACAAAGAGTACACTGAAAAGACAACAAAGCCACCATTAATTCTGTATATGAATGAAAGAAATAATGATCTATTTATGGTCCTCCCAAGTAAAGAAATAAGTAATCACTATCCTGGGCAAAGAGATAGTTCTCTAAGAATTTCTTATTTAGAACTTCCTTCAAAATTGTCAGAGAAGAGTAAGTGGGAAGAATGAAGCTCCAAGCACTGAAAGGTTGATAATCAGATTGATTCAAAGAGACATTCCAGGCATACCTTTTACACAAACCAGTAAGTTAAATGTATGTTCAGTTAACAAATTACACTTTCCTAAGAAGTCAGTAGATTTATCTGAGCAGTAAGAAAAATGGATGACCTGAAAGTTGACAACTTCAGACTACCTCCTCATTCTGATTTTCAAGTCACAAACATTAGAAAGTTGAAAGGACTGTTAGACCTGGTTGTTTTGAAGTCTCTCAAAGCTGTAGAGATGTATTCAGACAAATGTTTTTCCATGAGTGCTACTCTGATCCAGGCTCTACCCTATGAGGAACAAGAAAGGATCAAATAAGAAACTTAAAGAATATTTTCTATATACTGTCAAATATATGCATATTAACAATATGGAACAAATAATTCAAAATCAAGAATAACTAAGAAAAATATCTAAGAAGACAAAACAGAAAATTTCAATAATATTAAGCATATATTATGTTTTTCAGAAGATATATGACATATCAAACTACTGATGAAAATGAGCTACTTGGGTTAGAGATGTATTTTGAATCATATAGTACATTTATATAAAATTCTACTTCAATATCAAAAAGGAGCATGCTAGTTAAATGAGCCTTATAAAACACACAAAACAGTGTCTTTTAGTAGTCACCCCAACACTTGAGACAATTTTCTATTATGTCCCCAAAGGAGGTTTTCATACTGACAATAAATTACAATATATGATCAATCACTAGTCCAAATCATGAGCTACTAAATTTGGAGCTAAACGATGCTACCAAATATTTAAAACAGAAAACAAAAAGTCAGGGACTGGGGATATAGCTCAGTGATACAGCATTGGCTCAGCATGCTCCAGCCTCTGGTTTTAACAAAGGTTCACTCAGATGTCAACATGTCAGCAAAGCAATTCTGACTTGTGAATCATGTAACAATATGAGAAAGTGGTAACCCCCTTTAGTAGTTGGTGTTAGCTAGTCTTCCTTAACACTCCAAAATATCCCTTATAGATGTGTGTTTGTATGTGTCTGTGGTTGCACTTGCCTGTATGTCTGGAGGTCAGAAGTCAATTCTAGGTACCTTTATCTATTGTTGTATATCCTTTTTTTTTTTTTTCTTGAGACAATGGCTCTCACTGAACCTGGGATTCATTTGGTTGTTTTGGCTAGACTGACTGGCCAGTAAACACCTGTCTCTGCTCTAATCCTCCACACCTCTGACCCAGAATTATATATAGATCAGGGCCACCACACCAAGATGTTTTTGTGAGTGCTAGAGATTTGAATTTATGCCATCACTTTACTTTACTGGGATACCCCTCCAATCCTTTTTGTAGCCTACGTAGACTGAAAAAATGTAAGGAATAGTATCTGAAGAAAATGCAAAATTTCATTTACTTTCATTTCTACCTAGTCCCTCCTAAATCTCCAGGAAAATTCATGACAACTGAATAACACAGCACTGAAATAGCAATGGGAATAAAGGTGCATAATCAGTATGTATTATGCTCAACCAGTGGGCTTGGAGAAAAGCATGAAAATGTCCATAGATATAATGAGTTCCGCATATTCGTGGATCAGAAAGGAAGCAATCTAGGTAGTGATAAAAACAGCCAGGCTAGAACAGCAATGCTGCTGGGAAGAAAATGAACAATGGGGATGTACTTGCAAGCCAATCTTCCCACTACACTGAAGTTCAGCTCGCTCTGCACTTAGTCCATCCTTTTGAGTAAGCCTGGAGGAACTCGAATGTGGTGGAGCTGACTGAAATAGAGGAAGGAAAAATGCAAGCTGCTGGCTGCCCAACAGTCCCAAGATTCTCACTAGAAATGTAGTCAAACAGACACGGAAACTAGTAGTGTATTGTGGAATCAAAAGGCTACACTGTCACAAGTATAGAAGCAAGGGAAGGCACCATCCAGAGAAAATGAGGCACAGGAGGCTGTGCTGTGGCTAGATAAGAGATGTGGGGAAAGTCCTGCTTCCTGATTTATTAACTCCAATCTACACAGAACTGAGCTGCACTTAAGTTTCCTGTCCTTGCATGTGTGTGGAACTCTCTGTTGTGGTAACAAATTGTGCTAATTTTAATGACTTATTTTCTTTCAATGAAAGAACTTTTACTAGAATAGAAAAACAAACAAGACTTATGAAGGTTGTTGGCCACCAAGAATATAGAAAATCTGAAGCAATACTGAGGAATTTACACTTTATTACTTGACAATGGTGAATCTTTGAGACTTCAAAAAAATGAATTAGATAGTTCTTAAGGACATGATTAGAATGTGCTCAACCCTGTTCAAAGACTTTGTGTGTATTAAAATAGTCCCCATGAGAATTGCATGAGTTTTGGTTATGATACTATCCTTACTTAACTATTTGATGAACCAAACAAAAATATCATTAGTATAGAAAAAAACCCTCATCTCATCATCAAAAAGACTGATCTATGAACTCGACCTTCCTTTCTCATCCAGAGAATGAGCTGTCATCAATTAAAAGAGAAATAAGATATCAAATAATAAAGATATCTGCCTTGATGCATTTGACAAAAGACTGTCACCCATAAATACAAAACAGTCTAAACTTCATATAAATCTCCACCAAATTAGAAATGGATCTGCACATAGGAGCATGTTTTAGTTACAGTTCAGCTTAATTATTAGGATATTTAGATGTTCTTTATTTCAGATTGAGTAAGTGATTATTTTTCAAAGAATTTTCCTACTATCAATTTTACAAATTTATCAGTGTGAATTTATTAATAATAACCTTAGAGGAGGATTTTTACTGTCTACGGCAAAATGGCTATTAATCTTCCTAATGCTGTGACCCTTTAATAAAGTTCTTCATGTTGTGGTGACCACAAACATAAAATTATTTCATTGCTACTTCATAACTGTAATTTTGCTACTGTTGTAAGTCATAATATAATCAAATATGCAGGGTATCTACCCACTAATGGGTTGAAACACACAGGTTAAGAACCATTGGTCTACAGGATTTATGGGGTTGGTGTTGTCTTCATTCCTGATGGTTTATAATCTGTTTTACTTCATGAAGAGATTTCCTAAAATCTATTAATTATACTAGGCATCAGAAAGTCCTCAGAGCTTTTAGCTTTATTCTAGAATGAATCTGCTTCAACGTGATGGAAGTGTTGCTCTTTATTTTGTCTTTCCATCTACTCACAGTTACTACTTGTGCTTGCTTGTTGAAATGAAATCTTTGATAACTGATTTCTAGTACTTCTGGTTATTCAAATATAAAAAAGCCTTCTTAAGTCTATTTTACTTGAGTCCAGTTTTTATATATTGTATTTCATTGTCATATTTCAAATACATTTCAATTTTGATTATGATTTCCTCTTTCACTGATGAGCTACTTAGAGGTCCTTCAAATTTTCACTCATAAAAGCATTTTGCTGTTTTGTTGTTATTGAGTCCAGCTTACTTCCACTGTGGTTATAGAAAGTATTTTACATGAATCCCAGTCCTTTGGAAACTACTGAGATCAATTACAGTTTTTCAAATGGTTAATGTGTGTATAAGTCCTATGTGTGTTTGATAACAATTCTATTTTATAGCTAGTTCTTTAAAGACGTTCAGTTTCCCAATACTCATCTTTGTTTCTATTTTTTTTAGCAATTGTAATTACTTAAAAGTTTATCATATTTATCACCCATAGCTCTGTTTCTTTATGAGCTTTCTTGGTATCAGTCATCTTTTTCTTTTCTTTCCTTTTCTTTTCCTTTTGAGACTATGAGATTTGAGACAGTGTTGCCATGTAGCCCAAACTGGCCTTGACCTTGGGATCCTCCCTCCTCAACTTCCTGAGAGCTGAGATTACCCCATGTACTACCACACCTAGCTTGATGTTTTGATATGCTTGATTTGATTGAATAACAGACACTTTTAACAATGGCCTGTGGAACTTAACTCCTTTCTCCACAGCTGAATTTTTCCCTTGGGGGCATACAGAAGGGAACCACTTATGTTGGCCTTCTTATGTTGATCCTTCTGAACTGTCTTTACCCTCAGCATAAAACCTTGCTGGCCTCAAATGAAAGTCTGGAATGTTTACAGAACATCCTGCCTCCTTTTTTCCCAGAACCCTAACCTCTTATTTCTGCAGAGTAAGATGAAAATCTTCAGTTAGCTGTTTTATCTACTACTTAATCCAAGTTCATAGACCATCTAACTGCCTGCTTCTCCCCCTGAAATCAGACCACATCCCTCCCCCATATCCCTCTCTACACCTCCTTCTCTCTCTGGCATACAGAACTGACAAGAAAGCATGTCTTTCTATGGCTGTAAGCCCCTTTCCCTATAGCTGCAAGGTGTTTATGGTTCTACCTAGTGCATGCCCATTGGAAGGAAGGCCAGGCCCATGATTAATGTGGTAAGAAGCTTGTTCACCCCCAAACCCTGTAAGTGTCAGAACACCACCTACATCTTTTCTGGAATGTCATTCCCTTCAGAAGGGGTCTGTCATGCTCTACATGGTGGCTATCTGTCCTAATGAAGCTTCTCTTGGGATATGAAGATATCTTTTTCCCTTCATGGCCCATCCTCCTGTCTGTAGTCTGATGCAGTCTCTCTTGTAATGTTTTCTGACTTCATGGCTGCATTATAGCCCCTGTGGTTACCAAGTTCTCTCTTCAAGTAAGGTTCATTCTGAAGAATAATTTTGTATTAAAGTGTAGTATTTCTGGTGTCTGTTGTCTTCTCAGTTACTTTCTGCATTTTGAGGAAAAGCCAATTAATGTACATATTATTGCAGCCTGTATTAGAGGGGTTTATAATACTGGTTTTGCTCATGGCTCCTATTTTAAGTTTGAAAACTAGAAAGTTGGTTTCTTATTTTTAGGTTATCAAGTATTTTGCTACCAAGCTAAACTCTTTATAGAACCATGCTCCATGTGACTTCCATTGAACAATTTCCCAGATAAGAACAATCAATAGGAATAGATTAGATGTGGATATCTCCTGGTCTTCTTCAAAATATACACGTCATAGAAACAAGAACAATATAAATGATCTAACCATAATGACTCAAAACTTTGTAATACAAATTTGTTTACATCTCCTGTGTGATTACACTATGATTATGTATTTTTCCTTTAAGTTTTGCTTTATTTACTGGAATTCGATCATCCAGTAGAGAAAGAGCTATCTCAAATCCAAGCACTTTAAGTAGTAAATTACTGTGCTTCTAAGAATGACTTAATCTATGTAACACGATATGGAAAACTTTTGAATTTTTTTTCATTCAGCTGTTTTTGAGAGACATATTTATGCTAAATGTTACTTTCTGTGTAGCAATTACACACAGCATAATGCTACGGTGGGGAAAGGAAGTTGATAAGCTCTGCTTATACACAACTGAGTCAGAGAAAGTAGATTTTATTATAGAAAATTGTTTTTGTTTTGTTTTTTTTGCTAAGCAGTAAATTACAAATTTCGAGACTTAAAAGTACACTGACTCAGCATCTCAACGTTATTCATTAGTCCAGGTGGGCAACACCAGGACCTTTCTGTTTAGGGTCACACAAAATGGGGGCCACAAGGGGAAAATCTACCCCACATTCTGCAATTGTAGGTTGGCAAATGAAGTCCCTTTCTTGTCCTAGTGGTTTTGGCTGTGTCCACTTTCAACTTGCAGAAACTACTAGGATTTTTATGTTCTGGTTCTCAATCTTACCCCAGGCACTGGGGGAATCTAATCTCTCACAAGATCTAAGTATCTGACACTTTGATTTACTACGAGATGGGGCAAATTCTGTTTCTGTAAAATTTGCAGTTAAAGCCCAACTACCTTTGCCATTTATTGCATTTTCAGAGCCATTTAGATCATTAACAATATTTATTTTGGCTTCAAATTAAAACCATAAAGAATGTGAAGAAGTGATGCTCAATTTAAAATGTCTAATGCTGACATTTAATATCTAGGAGACCACTAAATAACAACTTAACAAATTAAAAGAAAGACCCTGACAATGCCAGTATCATTTTTCCCTTTAGCAGATGAGAAACTGAGTTTATGGAGGAGAGTTTCCCCTCACATAAGTTAATCTAGCTGAATCTGAACAAATCCCAGACAAGGCTAAATATCACCATGAGACCTGGAGGAAATAACACTGGGAAACTGATTTGTTTGGAAGGTTTTGATTATCTTCATAGACCTTCTTTATGAAAATGACTGATTCTAAAACACATTTTCCTCATAGAGAAGTGCAAAGCTCAGGACCTAAATGCAGGTCATTTGCATATACACTACAGCTTCCAGCTTTGAGTTTTTAAGGAATTCCTGTGTGTGTGAACACATGTGTCTCTGAATCTATATATATTTTTGGAGTTTTTTCTTATGTTTATTTTGTCTTATTCTGAATTGCTTATTTTTTTATCTTATTTTATTATTATTACTTAGATGGCTGTTTTTATCTATGAGAAACAGAAAAGATGTGGATCTGGATGGGAGGGGAGAAAGGAAGGCACTGAGAGGACCAGGAGCAGGGAAAATCATAACCAGAATTTATGGCATGAAAAAATCTATTTACAATTAAAAATGGGGCGGGGTTAGAAAGAAGGCATAAGCATTTTAGAAAGAGCTATCAGATTGCAAACCCAGGCAGCAGTGAAAAGACCTAACTGAGAATAAGAAAGCTTATGTGCCACAATTTTTTGCTTGTACAGATTCAGTTCATCCAAAACACAACTAATCTTTTTACCTAAAGAAATTGAGATATCATTCCTGAGTCATAGGGAAAACATGAAAGCAAAACTGATACAAACTTAAATGAGGTGCAATTTCAATTTTACAATTCTAAAATAATGAACTAACTTGAGCTCTAAACTGTAAATCGCTTTTTCTACTTAGGACAGCCCAATAGACATAATTCTCAAATTAAGGTTAAAACACAGTACATTAGCATCTCAGACATCTTAAAAAGTCTTTTTTGATTTGTTTTTACAAATTTTAAAATTATGGAGGACCCTAAGAAAGCTTTTAGTTAGACTATACCTACTAATATTTACTATACCTAACATTCTAAAACTCAGTAAAGGGAATGGTTTGATGCTCAATGGGTAAAAGCACTTTGCCTAAAAGCATGACTACCTAAGCCACATAGAAAGCCAGCATGACTGTGCACAACTGTGACTCTAGCACTGGGGGAAGAGAGATACTCAGGTCCAGGGATTCTCTTGCTGGTCAACCATCCAGCCTTATCCAAACTAGCAATCTTCCAGTTAGGAAGACACCGTGACTTGAGGCAACAAAGTAACGAGTGATGAAAGAAGATACCCAGTGTCCTGCTGTGGTTTCTACATGTGCATGCCCAAATGTGCACATCTGTATGCTTGAATACACTATCCACCATTTGAACACAGATACACACACACACACACACACACACATTAAATGATATTTTTTAAAATTAGATGCAATGTGGAATATTAACTAAAACAATGAACTTTTAATACTGTATTACATTAAATTCATATGGTTACCTTAAACTGAATTAATTATTCACTCATGCATTTTTAAATAATTATATGAATTGATCACTTAGAAAATATAAGTCTATCAAATGTAAATTCTACTAAACAGTTTAAAATTACATTGCTGACAACATCATTATCAGAAAAGCCTTTATCAAGCTTAAAGTACTGAATGCAAGCTTTCCACAAATTGAATTATTGCTTAAAAGCTTGGTACCTAGCAACAAATATTGTCAAATATTCATTATGCATCTTCTTTAGGAAAAAAAGGTTGTTTCTTTCAAGAAAATATCTGTCAGATGCTTAAATCTGAAAGAAATTAGTGTTTTCTGTGTGTGTATGCTCATGTGTACATGTGTAATGTGTGCACACACGTGTGTGCATGTGTTTTCATGAGCACATGTGTGTGAGCACTCGTGGAAGTCAAAGAATAATCTTGCATTTTACTCCTCAAAGGCTGTGCTCACTCATCTTTGTGATAAAGCCTTTCACGGGGCTGACCAGTGAATCCCAAGAGATCCCAGACCATCAGAGCAGAGATCCTAGGCATACGGTGCCACGCCCGCCTTTCATGCAGATTCTGGAGACCAAATGCAGGTCCTTATAGTTGTATGCTAAGCACTTATGACAGCTCTCTCTCTCTCTCTCTCTCTCTCTCTCTCTCTCTCTCTCTCTCCAGCTCCCAAAGTACATTTTGTAAGTTTCTTCACAAAAAGTGCCTGGATCAGTTCACAATACAGTCAATTACAGTGTCTTTATATGCTATATGGATTTACTATAAAATCCAGGCTAGCTGGAACTCAGTATGTCTCCCAAGATGAGCTCAAACCCTCAATTTTCCCTTTTGCCTCAGCCTCCCTAGTGCTGAGATGATAGGCATGCATAATCATGCCCAGTCATCTTACACATTGTCATACCTGTTAGTATTCAGGCATCTGTACTGGCCTGTCCTTGGGGTTCTGACAGGATACGCCCTCAGCTGCAGCCACTAAGAGCACCACCTGTGCACATTCACTATCTTCTCGTTTAAAAGGGCCCTGCCCACCTCCCATCTTTCTCCCCCTTCTCTGTCTTTCCTTCTCTTCCCCCTGCCCCCCTCTTCTCTTCAGCTGCTTCTGTCCCCAGAGGCCAGTCTCCCCCTTCCTCTCCCCTCCTTCCTTTCCCCATTCCCTTCCCCCCAATAAAAAAACCCATGTGAGCTCTTACTGCACTTTAAAAAATTACAATACCAAATGGAGTAGTCAATACCTAGTCAAAGCTTAAATTGAATGATCAATACTTAACTATGCCATTAGCAGACATTCTGAAGTAAAACTTTTTTTTAATACAAACTGTATGGTAGGAAATTACTCAATGGCTACTTGTGCCATTTGATGCCACCTCTTTCATTTATACAAGTCTGGTCACCATTGTTTGTGCACTAGTAGTGTAGATGCTAACACCTCGAAAAGAAAAGGCAAATGGTGTGTTTATTTGGAGATTACAGACCCTCAAAGAAAGGCCTTTGAAGACCCTACTGCTGATTCCTCAGGAGTATGTGTTTGTGTGTGTGTGTGTGTGTGTGTGTGTGTGTGTGTGTGTGTGTGTGTGTGTGTGTGTGTGTGTGTGTGTTTGTTTGGTGTTTGTTTTCCCGAGACAGGGTCTCTCTGTATAGCCATAGTTGTCCTGGACTTCACTGTGTAGACCAGGCCAGCCTGGAACTCAGAGGTTGCCCACCCCTGCCACCTAAGTACTGAGATTACAGGCATACACTAACATATCCAGCTTGAACAGGATATACTTTAAAATGTGTCTTAAAGGGGAACTTATAGTGAGTGGGTTCATATATATATTCAAGATACAACAGTGAAGAGTATTATATAATATACTCTTATATAATATATATAATAAGCACACACGATTAAATAAAAATAAAACCTCTAAAGGGTGTTAACTTGGGTAATGTGCAAATTCCAATGTTTGAATGAAGAAAACAAACTTTATTTTTCAATACAGAATTCAAATGTTTTCTGCCCAGGTACAATATCTGCTAATCAGATAAAACAGAACAGAGGTAGGTCTTACCTTAGCTCTGGAGGAACTGACATTTTCCATATTTTCAATGCTGCAGATACAGTTTTGAGAAACTTTCCGACAAGCCACCCTGATGTAGTCCCAGAAGCTACGAGGACTTTCATAACCAAACCAGGTTACTTGACCTTCAGGAGATAATTACAACACAAAATAAATAAAACTAGCCCAGAAAATTCAAAAGGCATGAACAGTAAAACTCTGAAAAATAAATGATACTACAGTGTGCGAGTAAGGAAGGGACGCTGATTGAGGTATCGAAAATCTTAAATACAGTCCCATTCTATCTTTACTTTTGAATAAGTAATTCTGAATCTCGGTTATTCACATGAAAAGAAACCGGACACTAAAAATATCTCATTGTCTAAGATTTTCACTGGTGCACAGGAAGTTTCCTGTGCTTCCTGGACACTAGATAAGCATTCATTTATGTGTGACTAGTTGGATTCTAAACCCTTTTCTACTTCAAAAAACAGAAAAAAATCATGACACATCTTTTATTTCTCCTTGTAAAGTTATATTTAAACTCACAAGATAGTTGGTGATTGACCATATAAGAAAATAAAATCAATGAACATGCCTCATTCACTGAAGTCATACTCTCCTGTCATCTACAAAATTTTCCTCCAACACTCATTCATTCGTTATTATTTAGTCACCAACCTGTGAAAACCCCAGTTACATACTATCCTCATTTTTTATGATACTTTTATTTTTTATTTGTCATTAACCATGTCCCTTTATTTGTAAACAGATTTTTTCCCACATACTGCATTTTGATTAGCTTTCCCTCCTTCAACTCTCAGTTCTTTCCACCTCTCCTCCCATCCAGATCCACTCCTTTTGTCATTAGACCAAAAAAAAGGCTTCTAAAGAATAATAATAAAATATAATAAAATAAAAACTAACACATTGGGTTAGAACTAAAATAAACAAACAAAAGGAAAAGAGCCCCAAAGAAGACACAAGAATCAAAGAGCTATTCATTCACACACTCAGGAATCCTCATAAAATCATTAAACTGGAAGCCACAAAATAATACAGAGAAGCTGGTGCTGGCCCATGCAGGCCCTGTGCATGCTTGCCTTAGTCTCTCCAAGTTTCTGTGTGCTCTGCTCACATTGATTTAGACAGCCCTGTTTTCTGTGGTGTCCTCCACACCCTTTGGCTCTTATACATCTTTAGCCCTCTTTTCCTGAAAGGTTCCTCAAGCCCTGACGGGAGGGATTTGATGAGATATCCCATTTAGGGCTGAGTGTTTCGAAGTGTTTGATTCTCTGCATAGGGTCTGGCTGTGGGTCTCTATATGTGTTCCCATCTGCTGCAGAGGGAAGCTTCTCTGATGATGGCTGAGCAAGGCACTTATCTATGCAACCTCATCTTTTACATTTGGATAATTACATGCTTGTGCCTGAAAAGGCATTCTACTTGGTGTATCTTATCTCACTATTAATACTTCTGAAGAGGACTCAAGATTACCAGGTATATGTGAGCCTCTTTATATAGTATAGTGTGTTTCTTTTCTAAATTAATTAAAATATAATTATATTACTTCTCTTCGTTCCTTTCCTCCAACCTCTTCCATGCCCCACTCCTCAAATTGATAGCTTCTTTTTATTATTATTCTTACATACATACATATATAAATGCATTAATATAAAATACAACCCATTGAGCCTGTTTAGTGTTGTTTGTGTGTATATCATTATATACCCATAGTGTTTTTAGGTGGAACATAAGAATCATCTTCATACTTTTTCTTTTTTTATTTAAATTTTTTTTCATTTTATATACCAACCACTGCATTTTGATTAGCTTTCCCTCCTTCAACTCTCAGTTCTTTCCACCTCTCCTCCCATCCAGATCCACTCCTTTTGTCATTAGACCAAAAAAAAAAGGCTCTCCCCTTCTCCTCCTCACCTCCCCCTTTGCACCCCCATCCACTCCTCAGAGGAGGTTAAGGCCTCCCATGGGGAGTCAACCAAGTCTGGCATACCTGGTTGAAGCAGGACAAAGCCCCTCCCTCATATCAAGGCTGAGCAAGATATCCCACCTTAGGGAATGGGCTCCAAAAAGCCTGTTCATGTACCAGGGATAAGTTCTGGTCCCACTGTCAGGCTCCCCCCACAAAACAGATCAAGCCACATAACTGTCACCCACATTCAGAGGGCTTAGTTTGGTCCCATGCAGGTTCCCCAGGTGTCAGTTCACAGTCTGAGAGTTCCCACTAGCTAGGGCCAGCTGTCTCTGTGGTTTTCCCCATCATGATCTTGATGGCCCCCCACGCTCATATGATCCCTCCTCCCTCTCTTCAGGAACTCCAGGAGCTCAGCCCAGTGCTTGCCTGTGGGTCACTGCATCTGCTTCCATCAGTTATAGGATGTAGGTTCTATGATGACAATTAGGGCAGTCACAAATCTGATTAAAGGGGAAGGCCAGTTCAGACACCCTCTCCACTATTGCTAGGAGTCTTAGCTGGGGTCATCCTTGTGGATTCCTAAGAATTTCCCTAGCAACAGGTTTCTCCCATAAGGAAGGGCTCTCTCTATCAAGACATCTCTTGCATTGCTCTCCTGCTCAGTCCCTCCCCCAACTTGGCCTTCTCAATCCCTCCTGTTCCCATTACCCATCCCCTTCCTTATACACCCTGCCCCCCCCCAGTTTATCCAGGAGATCTTAACTATTTTCTCTTCCAGGGGCCCTCCATGTGTGTCCCTTTTTATCTAGCTTCTCTGGGAAATCTTCATACTTTGGTTACCTGAAAGGATTATTTAATCTTACCCAGAAAGTTATTTAATCTTACTATAGAAACATTTGCTTTTACACTTTATATACCTGCTTCAGGTATTTATCTGAGCTCTTCCCTTCTCTAGTAATTATTTCTCTACAGGCGTTTTGTTATAAATTGCTATTTATCTAAGATATCTGAGTAATTCCTAAGCATGGTTACCAAATTGGATGGTTTTAAAAGTAAACTCATTTCCAACCTTTTTGAATACTGAATAACCAAGATCCTTGAGGAGTACTAAGCAAAAATGAACTAGAAGAAATTCTAAAATTTGTAACTCAATATCCATGACATTTACAATGCCTTTCCCCTTTTTGCAATATGCTATGTGTGATTTTTAGAATTAGTCCCACTCTCAACACACCCAGCCTGACTCACTTCTTGGTGCTCAGAATATTAGGCAAGTGTTCTGCCTGTGCTTATTCTATACAAGCTCATTCTTATTACATGTAAACAAAAGGAAAAAGCATATATAAAGTTTTATTCAAATGACTATACATGGTTCCATGTCTCTTTAAAGTCCAATCTTATTACTAATAAAGAAATATACAGGAATATTTATAGTCATCATCCTCTTTGTCTTTCTTAATTGCCTTTTTTCCTTCATCTGCTCCCTATATTTGAGTTTAACAAAACTCCTGTATGAATTGTCTTTTAGGAACTTTTCATTAGCCATCTGAAGCATGATATACAAGGAAGCAGAGAAGGCTAGAAGGCTTTTGAAACAGGTGGATCTTAATGAGATTGCTTTCTAGCTATGTGACATTGAGCAAATATTTTAATTGCACTCTATGTCTGAGCTGCTTCTGTAAATTGAGAGTGATACTATCACCTACCCGATAGCACCGAGTCATGCCAACACATCCTATACATGCCAAGAGTAACACAGAACCTATGTCACAGTAAGTACTACACAGATGTTAATATCACCATTGTTACACTGTTACCATACACAGCTAAGGGAAGTAAGTTCTTGTACCATAAAGCAAAGTAGAAATGGGATGCAAATTTGAGTTTTTTTTATTACTTCCTTAGAATCCAAAAAATTTTAAATCAATCTTTTTCATATCAACCTTTCTAAACTTCTTCAAAATGTTTCTAACCTCAGCCAATTTTCTTGGCCTCCTAGTATTTGAGATCATTGTATCAATTCAAAAGGCAAAGGTGTCAAATTTCTCTCAAATGCAATAATATACGTTCAGAGGGGAGGGAAAAAAACACAGGCCTCTTCTTTGCTCTTCAATCTCCCTAACACAGAAGCACGGGAAACAAAAGTTAGAGAAGTAGGCAGAGAAAGGCAACACTATACTCAACTCCCTGTAGATGGGTGAGCACAGAAAAATGGCATTCAGATGTCTGTACTAGAGTACAATTTCCTTTGTAAGGAAACAGTCAAGAGAACCACACTTTTGCAAAGGGCCTAATTTGCTCTTCAATGAAACAGTTATGAACCTGTTTTTTTTTTTTTCACATGGCTGAGGAAAATAATAAAAACAATCTGCAAACTTTAAAAAGCAGAGGAGGGGAGGGCCCCATTTGAGAAGAGAAACAAAGACAGAAACCCCAGACTTAGAATTGCATTTAGCAGCACAGTAGGCACTAAGATTTACAGGTTACTACAATGAATATGCTGCAGGAACCTCAATGGCATGCCTAAAGAAACGAGGGTTTCTTGTATAATAAACTGAGAACTAATTTATGGAGTGGCATGTTGTCATGATGCAAAGGGCCTTAAATAATAGTTTCAACTCAGCAAAGTTGTGCCCACCATTTTTCCCAACCCAGGTGTATGCAATGTTTCCAAAGGAAGGCTGTTGGTTTAAGACAAGAGACTCTTCATACAGAAGCATCAGCTTTAAGAGAAGGTAAATCCCAGCTGGGCAGTGGTGGTGTGCATCTTTGATTCCAGCACTCGGGAGACAGAGGCAGGTAGATCTCTGAGTTTAAGGCCAGCCTGCTCTACAAGGCAAGTTCCAGGATAGCCAAGGCTACACAGAGAAACCCTGTCTCAAAAAACAAGAGGAGGAGAAGACAAATCCCTTGCTAGAGTCTCAAGCAAAGCTCTCAAGTAAGCAGTTTTATCTAGATGATTTCTGGAGCTACAAAAATTAATTTAAATATAAGAAATATGTCCAATTGGCTTGTTTATATTATTTAAATATGAGATCTATTAACTTTCTTTTTTTTTTTTTTTTTGGTTTTTCTGAGATAAGGTTTCTCTGTGGCTTTGGAGGCTGTCCTGGAACTAGCTCTTGTAGACCAGGCTGGTCTCAAACTCACAGAGATCTGCCTGCCTCGGCCTCCTGAGTGCTGGGATTAAAGCCATTCACCACCACCACC